CCAGAGACCGTCTCACCTTGGAAGCGCTTCGTCCCTGCATGAGCATCGCCGGATATCGAGAAGGCCTTGAAGGCCAAGGGCCATCAGGACCAGCAGCGTAACCGCGACTTCGACATCGTTCAGTGGGCCATGGACATTACCAACTTCGCTTCCAGCATCGTCCGATTCGCGCTGTGGGCAGCGCCTGTGCAGACCCGAAGTCCTGTGCTGTTAGCATCATGAACATCATCTCCACCTTCGCGTGGATCTCCCAGTTCACGGTCCTTGCCGTCTCGCACTGCCAAGTGGGTGCTGACCAGAAGGCTCTGTGTACTGTAGACATCTCGGACATGGTTGCTGCGCTGAACAGCGGCCCGGCTTCCGGCATCGCCTCCACATCCGACTGCGCTGACCTGTAAGCCCTAAGCTGTGACGTTTCGCTGTCAGATCGCTGAAAACGGCAGTCTCTGAACAGTCTTCTCAGCACTTGGTCTACACCACCTGCACCGGGTTGACTCTGGGTCCAGCAGAAGAGGTCATGACGCTCGTGCCTGAAAAAGCTTGACAGGAGAGGCGTAGGCCTGCAAAGAGAGCCTCGGGTCTTTCCTGGTTGTGATTCAGGACACTGCGCACGAGATCGTATCGTTTCTTTCCTCGGTGCGCTAGCTTGTTTGGAGCTTGCGTGAGCCGTTGTTCACAGATTGGCTTGGGCCAAACGAGACTTCTGGGGATCCACTTTATTCCTTCATCAAGCAGGCTGCACTCTCTCGATAAGCGGCGGAGGTCCTACCCTACCTTGAGGTTACCCCATTCCCGCTCCATAGGCTAGTACAACAGGCAACATGGCCCCAGCGTACATCTGCACAACTGAAAACGGCAGCATTGCCGAAGACGCTTTCATGTTCACTGCAGGCTTCTTCTCCGACTCGTTGTTGACAAGCACAAGCATCGACGAGTTTGTTGGAGGGTAAACACGCCTTCAGAGTTGTTGTTGTGCCTTGTGTTGAGGAAGGGGGGTAGCCATGTGTCGTTCAGCGCAGGCTTGGGTTTTATGAACAGTTTGCAACACAGCATACAAGGAGCTCTGCATCATTCAGCTTTGCTTAACATACCAGCACTTGCATCACACAGCTGCCATTCCCTCCCCCTAGCTTTCGCGCAGTCTGCTCTCAGAATAGTTGTTGGTGTTGGCTTCCGAGCTTGCCATGCGCCGGAAATAATTGATTCCTATTCTGGGAAGATGATGTTCGGAGGCTCCGTGGGCCTTCGGCAGAACGACTGCGCGTTCCTTCTCTGGAGCGCAACAGCCTCAACCTCAGCTTTCGCCAGGCAGCGGTTTCGTGCTTGACAGCCCAGGCCGCGACGCAACACCAAAGCGGGAGCCCAGCACGCGCAGGGAAGCGATGACACCGACAAGGCGACAGCCAACACCGACAAGGCGAGAGCCCACGCCGACGCGCCGTGAGGTGCCTTTAAGGCGTGAGCCCACGCCAACGCGGCAGCGCGAGCTCGTGCTGATGCCCAAGGATCCCAGCAGGAGAGATCTCGGGGCTCCAACGAGACGTGAGCAGCGCGAGCCCACCCCCACAAGACGAGAGGCAACGCCGACGCGACGAGAGCAAACGCCCCGAGCTAGGCGCGATCCCACTCCACCCATGCGGAGAGCACCAACACCCACACGCAGAGACGCTCGGGACATGACGCCAACCAGGTGGGCGATTGCCTTGCGCCGTCGATCAATAACAATTTTCGCAGACTGAGCTGACGAGGCGGCAAACTCCGGGGACGCCTACCAAAAGAGAAGATGCCAGGATGTCTCAGGCAGCGACGTAGTCAGTTGGACCAGCTCTCGGCTACTTCTAAGTGTAGCGGAAGCTTCTCAAACACGACAGGAACATGCTTACGACGACACTGCACTTCTTTATGGTGAGAGCTGCGGCCTCAGACACTAACCGTCCTCCACTCGACCTCGGCTGATTCCCGCAGAGCTGCGGGGAACTGTGGTGCCTTTGGCGAATCTGGTGAGGGAATGAATGGGATCGACACATGTAGCATTGGACAAGTGGGCGCCCGTGTACTGTGTACCAGCACTTGCGAGCGGCAGGTGTGGTGCCCTTCAACATAGGGCCGACCAAGCTATCCAAGCAGGAGCGGTGCTGTTTGGTCATTTGCGGCAGAATGCGGCAGATTAAGTGCTCAGTCCTCACGGCCAGAGGCCATTGCTCAATTCCTGCACCTGAGCCACCTGCCCTATTCAATCCAATGCTTCGGACTCAAACTCCGCCTCTTTTCGGGCCAGGCTCGGCAGCAAAGGGAAAGAAGCCAGTACTGGGGCCAGAGCCTTGACTCTTGACCCTTGCGAAGACTCTGCGGCAGGGCTCGTGCCCGAAGCTAGGCAGAGCCACGCAATTGCAAGGAAAAGGTTCTCCAGAAGCCAAGGTCCGGAGACGATCCCGGCGGATCATTTGGCATCCCTTCGCGAGCAATGGCGCGTCTGCATCGAGGCACAAGTCCTTTGGGGCCCGGAAGCTTGTTGTGGCCGCCACAGCGACCCAAGCACCACTGGTTGGCCTTTGTGCAGCGGCGCGTACACCGGGATGAAGCGGTCGTCACTAGAAGCATGGCCCCATGCTTGCAGGATTGGCTTTGGCGCCAGATGTTCACAGACCGCCGCTCGGCTGCATGTTTTGAACTGCGAAGATTTAAGCCGCCCCTTGCGACCAGCATTTGCATTCGAGCCTTGTGGAGGCTTAGAAGAGCAGCTCGCAGGGTTGCAGCATTGGCAAAGACAGGCTCCTGCTTTGCACATGACTCGAGCAATCCGCCTTGAACATCGTGCGCTTCCCGGCGAGGCTGGCGAATACATAGAAATCATCCTTGAAGCGGATGTGGTGGACATGCTGCTCAAGTGGCTCACATGGCCTCTCGGTCTTTGATGCCGGCCTTCATGTTGGACGTAGAGCCAGCGGCCAGTGCTGTCAATCATGTCATCCCAGGATGCTGACGAATGCCAACACCAAGGTAGGATGCGGGGCACAGTCAAGCTTGGTTGTGGAGTTTGGGCACGGTCATTCTTACGTTGAGCATTAGATTAGATTGAAATTCAAGATATGGATCTGGAGAGTCCAGCAGAGGCACGTCCCAAGTGCTAAGAGATAGCTGGCGCCTGCGTCTGCAGGTATGGAAGCTCGTGTTAGATGTGCTTACGACTCTGCTGCAGAATTTGGAACGTGCCTTGGAGTGTCGTTGGACCTTTACCTCCGCCCGGTACTGCAGAATCAACCAGCCTGTGCCAGGTATGGATGTTCAGCTCACGGATCGCGAGACACAGATTCTCGTGCCCAACATTGTCGAGCGGTCCGGGCACAACATCTTGGTCATACGTGAGAGCATGCAAGAACTGCTCAGGCCTGAACTGTTGCCCATTCAGCAGCCAGTGCCGTCGGCGACTTTTCACAGCTTGGCGATTCGTCCACGCAGGATTTGTGGATCCGTCGCATCACGGGGACGAGTGCTTCCGATGCTGCTGCATGGGCTGACTTCGAAGAGCAAAAGGCGTGGCTGCCAAACCCAAGATTGGACACTCTTGCAGTTTTTCAGATGTCCACGTTTGCAGGGCTTGGAGCACCCGTCCCAGTCTGGACTGAGTTGTGAGAAGTCTGTGCTGGCAGGTCAGCCGCGTGTAGCATGCGAGCCATCGGTGACATCTTGGATCGAGGTACCACTTTGGCATTGCTCCGATCCCAGAAGGACACTGCTCGAGAAATGGGTCACAGAGCCGATAAAGGTTACACTGACCGAAGGATCTCGGGCTGGTTCTGAAACTGACTGTCGACAAAGACGCAGATGCAACTTGGACAGAGGCAGATGCAGCTTCTGATTGCACACGTTCCTGGCTCAAAAGCCGAGGTGCGGCGTTCAGCTGTGCACACCGTCAGTCTCTTCTCCCTGTACGTAGACGATGACGTCTTCATCAAAGTCTGCCGCGGTTTACCGCCGCTCGCAAAGGGTCCAGTGCAAACAGCGGCCGTCCGTTTGCAGGCTGCTTGTCTTTCAAAGCTGTCCAGCACAACACTCGGCTTGGGACGTTGAAGCACGATGAAGTTAAGCTGTGTGATGTTGCACACCATCAAACTCCAGGTGCCCGAAGAAGAAGACAGCAGACCAATATAGTCATGCTCGAGCTTTGCAAGCATCAAAGCGACACTCAGCAGCAGCAAGCATTTACCTCTTGCGGACCGTGTCGTGCACCTCCTCGAGTATTTAGGTATGTGGATGCTTGTGGAATAGTTCCATTTGAGGTGAAACGAAAGCCGGCAAGGACCAGCTGTGACTGACCGGCGAGCCTTGCTCGGCAACTGTTACTACATGCATAATTCGCTTTGGCGGTAGTGATCCGTTAATTCGTGATGTCTAGAAGATCTAGAACTTGTAGGTGGACTCAGACTTGGGCGAAGGCAAAATTGGATTTTGTCTCTTGCAGGTGGTCGCTTTTTGCCTTCTGCCCAAGCTGTCGGTAGTGACGCAATTGCACAGTCCCGGTCCACCGGCTGCTGTGCATCTGCCAAATTCATTCGAGACGATCTTGTCGATCTCTTTGCGGGGCTGTCGCTGGGGTGGCCTGTGGCATCTTGTCGCCATTGCACCACTGACTGGTGATGGAGATGATGACGCAGACAGCGCCAAAATGATGCCTTGTGTTGCTCCATATACATGGCTCCAGGCAGGTCACAGGCCCTCATGTAGCAACTTTAAGAATTATGTACCGGAAAGGCTCCCATTCATCCCCGGCCGTGGCCCGACGAAGCACTGAAGGGTTCCAGTTACTCCGATCACATGATCATGATTTGTCTCGATGCTGCCAGTATCCAAAACAGCCATCCAAGCCCAAATTGAGAGCAAACGAGACACCGAGAACTCTAGCGTTGATGGCGTCTCAAAACCCCGAGAAAAAAGAGGTAACTCTGAAGAGCGTAAGAGTCGGGTCCTCATCGCCGTTTGCGAGCGCTCCCATCTCGCAGGTCGCTTCGAAGTCAGCTTGCAGACTTTGACATTCTCTTGAACGGGCAGCAGAAGAAGGCTTCCTAGACAGGCTGGAACTGTGTGTGTGTGTGTGTGCAACAGGATTGAAACGAGGACTTTGATTCAAAATTAGTGTAGGATGTGGAACCGGTGACCAGGCCGTCGAGCTTCGGAAAGCGCTGCCACGACTGATTGGTGAAAGCGTTTCACCGTGCTGTGGCTGCGTGCGCATGTTAACGTTCAGGAGCGCCTTGTGCTGCGTTCTCGTGCCGTGCCTGCGAGAGAGGAAGAAAGTGTGCCAAATTGCCGAACCCGTGATTGCAGTGTCGGCTACGCCCTTCACCTCCTAAAAGTAGTCTTCTGAAGATTTATGCGCAGGCGTGGAGCCCCGGAGCAAACTTGCCCTTGCTCTGAGGCATCACCTCTATGAGCAGCTCGACGGTGCACTAAGGAGAACCGACATGTCGTAGATCCTAGGTTCCTTTATGGTAGGGTTGACCGGCTGCATGGTGTGCCTGCACATGTTCACATGGATAGTCTTACAGTCGCCCTTGACCGGTCTTCGCTCAAGATCCTTCGCGCGAGACAGCACACAAATGCAAAGCAATTCCCAACCGTGCAAGAAGTTGAGATGCCAGAAATAAGTGAGCATTCGCGGTACAGCGGAAAATCAGCACTGAATGCAGTTGGCAAAAGAACATGCAAGTCACAGCTATTTACGTAGGCGCAATATATAAGGCAGGCCTGGTGGGTTCTTGGGTGGTGGCACTGCGTCGGCAGATTCTCTTTCTTCCATGGCCCATGAATGCAGAAGAAGGAGTTGGTGCCTGGCCTTACATGTCTGAATTGACCTGAAAGTCCTCAAGCAAGTGTTTCGGCTGCTGAGGTAACACGACCACTTCAGATCCACCGGAAAAGTATGAGCCAAACTCCAAATTTGCTCTCAAGCTTCCCAGCGACATCGATACGGCCCCGGCCTTGGGCAAAATCCATGGCCGTAGTAGTGACATGTAGACTACATTGGCTCTCAGCGGAGACGGACCCGCACTGCGTGAACCGTACGTAGTGGGCAACACTCCGACCCACCGAGACTGAACGGAACACCTTCTCCGGCAACGATCTGGAGACCTACATCGCTTCCTACGCCACAGTGCCAAGCTTTCACACTGGCCCTTCGGCACCAGTGTAAGAACTTACACACGCCTGGCTATGCCTGGGCTGAGAGGTCTTCTTGCAGAACTTGTAAGAACGAGAATAGGACTAGGGAGAGAGCAGAAGATCGTGCAGTCGAGAATGCACACCACGAAGGCTTGCATGCACTTGTGCAGAGAAAACCGAACAGATTGTCAATTATGTTGCAGCAATGTTTTTGTTTTTTATACGAGGCGAGCGAGTCCTAAATGCTGGGAGAGCCCGGGGTCTCACCTGTGCAACCTTGTGCAACCAAGATATCACTTCGGAGGGATGCTGCAGATGTCTGGTGATCGTCGAAGACTCGAAGGTCAGACGAGTGTGGAATGTTGTCGCAACTTGAAGCTCCATTTAAACTTGTTCGTTTAGTGAGTATGTCATTCTGCCGTTGTACAAGTGTCCGACTTCGGTTTCATGCAGCAGCCAGCCCAGGTTCTCTTTCTGCTGCACGGCCGCAATCGGGTTTGTGCGGGAGTGTGTGTATGTGTGTGTGTGTGGGGAGGTTGGTATTGCAGGAGCAGCTCTTCAGCTGAAAGTGTCCGTGAGGTTGCTATATACCGCGACATATTTTCCGTTCCAGCTCCCTGCCCGCAAGGGTGTTACGTGTTTGTAAGTGCCACTGTGGTCGAGGACCACACAGGTTCCTGCAGACCTACGGAACATGACATTCTTCAGCGTTTTGTGCTCTCCGCTGGATGCATGCACAGGCTTTGCTTCATTGACCTTCGTGTCCCCATCGAAATCTCAAAGGTGGAGGCTTGACTGTCATCTGTGACATAAGCATAGAAATAGACACATACTGTACACGTTGAGGCGAGTAGGAATGTGCTCGTGTTTTTCCCTAGATTGCGTTGCAGACAGGGTTTACGAGCAGCCAAGAACAAGCAACGGTGTGACACGCTGAACCCTGCCCTGTTGGCAGGAGCTCTTTGATCGCCCAGTCGACTTTTTAGTCAATTGCAGCCAAACTGCACTGGGCATCCAGCAAGCATGGCATGTTAGACTCGTTGCTCTCAGTCTGCAAGCCTTGGCCACTGGCTCCCTAGGCCTGTTCTACCTCGACCTTATCCTGAACTTCTTCATAAGCTATCGGGATGCGACGGTGCGTGGGCTTCTTTCGAGCTGTTTGCTGGTGCACTTGGGTTCAGAGCGGACTTCCTCACTGCACTCCTTACCCGGGCTGCCCAGATGTTTAGACCTTAGTCCGACAATATCTTGATTTGCGCACGAAAGGAGGAATCCGTGAGCCGAAGCTACTCCGGAACGAAGCGTCCCCTGTGCAGGGGGTCGAAGTGGTGGATCTGAGGAAAACCTCCTGGTGCTACTTCAGGACCGCTCTGAGTTTCGTGACAAGACTCAAGAGCACCGTTGGTGTGGCAGGACTTACTTTTGGCCGAATTTGGTGGCTTGCATCCCGCCGCAGCTCATAGAAGCGATGTTCCAATCAGATGTGTGCCACATCTGAATCAGATGTCTAGGCGGCCTCTTGAGTGGAATCAACAGTGTTGGAGTTTACCCACCCCAACCCGGCACCAGTGCACAGCACTGAAAATCACATGCGCTGCCTACCGTAGCTGCGCTCGACAACTCCAGTCGCTGCAGATCCAAGGCGGGGTGACATATTGGAGGCAACGGGCAACAAGCGCGAGCGAGCTGAAAGCCAGTGCAGCTTGCAAAGTAGAGAGCCAAAAGTCTCCGCCTGGAGCTTTCTTTGCAGAAAAACCATGGAAGGCCTCCAAGCCCTGCAGCCCTTTCAGGAATCCTGCCCCAATGCAAGAGCCCGCGAGGTGGCGCGTTTCAGCCGTTTGCAGCGGATCTCCCGCCTCGCACGGCTAGTACGCCTCGTACACCTCTCGAGCCTGGGCTTAACACCGCTTGCCGGTCGATCACCGAGCACGAAATTATCAAGTCATTGAAGCTATGAAACCCGGGCACCCCGCCTCCAATAACTGCGAAAAGCTGTCTCCAGCATCTCGGTCTGAGGAAGCTCCTGAGATTCATGGATGACAGCGACCTGGCCATGCAGGAAATTCAATCGTCCACACATGTCGTTGGGAAGCGTCATGGCTAATTCGGTCGGCAAGCCGCCCCAAGGTCCCGTTATGATGCAGCTGAGAAACCTCCGGGGTGTGCGGCTGCTTGGATGCAAAGCAGCCAGGCCCGGGAGAAAGGACATGAAAGCTTCACAACTGGCCCAGGATTATCAACCTATTTTGTACACTGGCACCTCGGAAGCCTTATGCCTGCCAGCTTGCATCTGCGTGCAGCAGCACACTGCCGTGTTCCGCTGAGTCCTGGGTTGCGCACATGGTTGGCTGTGGCTGGTACCTTTGCGCAGCACTGAACGGCTCCACAGCGACGCTTGGGTGCAAAGTTCCGGACAAGACCAACTGGAAAAGCTGAGGGAAGTGAGGGACGAAGAACATCAAAAGGGTGCTCTCTGTCAGTTCTTGCAGAGACCTCGGCGACAGGCTGGAGGATACCTGGCTCGGCATGCGCGTCATCGACTCCAAGGGTTCCACGCTGCTCTACAAAAGCGATGGATCACGACAAGACCCCGAGGCTCCGAGCCGAGAGATCCTGAGGTACTTGTAGTACAATGGAAAAGTATGGCATGATCTTGAAAGGTTCAGTGGCTCAATGCTTTCTACTTCGTCCTCACCGTCTTCACTACTGTGGGGTTTGGAGCACCATGTCTGTGCAAAAACGTGAGTTTTGCAAACCGGTTCGGTTCAGAAGGTAGAATGAAGATTGTGGACGAAGCCGAGGACATGTCAGCTTATACACAAGCTGAAATGGGATATGTTTGTGGGACAATGCTCTTGGGCGCCATCGTGAACAGTGTGCCTGGGCAAAATCCGGCTGCTTCATGACGCGGGATGATGAATGGTCGTTGAAGACTGATGCATGCCTCCCCTACCTGCCAAGATCATCCTGAACGAAGTCATCGGAACACTGACCCGCCTGGACGAGAGCGCCTCGCGTGTGGTGCAGCAGATTCAGGTGGCATGGCCTGAGTCGCCACACTCCCCTGACCGTCCGGTGCCCATTTAAGTAGTCGAATATGTCGAATATTCACAGCGTCTCTTCACTATCCAGCAACTTCCAGCTCCGTCTAAGCCGGCATCGTGTGCCAAGCAAATCGCACTCGCCCCTCAGGCCTCTTGAAAGCCGGTAGAATCTCGAATCCAAACACTCGTCGGATGTCAGCAATGCATGATTACGTTGGAGTCTGTCTGTTTGTGCTGTGCTACAGAAGAAGAAGGTGTAACATGCACCAGTCTTTCAAATCATTCTGTTCAATGCAAGATCAGCACAGCCCCCCCTTCCATCATCTCTTCCATCCCCGTTCGACAAAGGTTGTTCAGGATTTCTCCGAGCACTGCAATCTCAGCAAGACCCTGCGAAAACAGCCGCTTGGCCTGCACCCGTCCAGCAGAAGCAATGCTGACAGACTGGAGCTGTTCAAATACTCTGACGACAGGGAAGTTCTTGACATCTGAACTTTGAAGTTTGTTGTGCCTCGAGACTGCATGGATCAAATCTTTTGTAGCTTCCATCCGGTCGTGGCGTCCAACAGGGACGATGCTCCTTGGCGTGGTTGGCCAATAGTCATTCAGTCAGTTAGTCCCCAGCCTCCTTGTCATGAGGATGCCCCCCACCTGTGCTGCAAAACTTGAGGTTCAATCAACAGGTCGGGCTCCAGAGTTTGCTGAAAGATGGTGGCAAGCACTTCTCCGGGGTTGATGAGGCCTTGCTGAAGAACATCGAGGCCTGCAAAAACTTGGCACAGATCACCAAGAGTTCCCTCGGGCCATACGGCATGAACAAGTTGATCGTGAACCACCTGGGAAAGCACTTCGTTACCAGTGACACAAACACGATCGTGACGGAGCTCGAGGTCATGCACCCGGCAGCAAAGCTGATTGTCATGGCGGCCAAATCACAGGCTCGGGCTTCAAAAGAAACCGTCTGTGTGCCGAACCTGTCCACATTTGACAGGCCTCTGAAACCGGGAAGGAGCGAGCAAAAGAGTGAGAGAGAGAGAGAGAAAGTTAATTCAGATTAATTCATCCCCTGCTTCATTGCGATTCGAGCAAACGGGGAAGAGAATTCATCCGGCTTTCTTGCACCTTGAGCGGTCATTTTTGCACTATCACACGTCGCACATGCGGGGAATGTGACTTTGTTTGTGGTTTGTTTTGTAACTAAAATGCCTCAACCTGCATGTGCCGATGCATGGGAGCTCTACGGTACTTCCTCATATTGCAAGCCCCTGACGATAGCCATAGGGGCGCGGTGACGAGGCGGGTTGGGGGTCTCTAGTGTTCGGGGACGGGGGCTTGCAACTCAGAGGTTGGGAGCATACCATGTTTTCCCCAAAGCCAACCACTCCATAAAACAGGGGTGTGGTTGGGCGGGCCTAGCGCCTGAGGGTCTTACGCCCGGCAGAAAGAAAGAGAGAAAGAGAAACCGAAGCTGAACAAACATGTCGAGGAGCAGGAATCCGGAGACGGCACCAACCTTTGCGTCAGTTTCGGCGGGGAGCTGCTGCAAAGGGCAGAGGAACTGCTCAAGGAGGGCATCCACGCAAACGACGTCTACAAAGGCTACGAGCTAGCCAGAGACAAGGCAGCTGTGCTGTAGAAAGTTTTGCGTTAGGGCCAGTAGGTGCGGTTGAACTCATGGTGCAGCGCGTTCAACGCAGGCGCTGGAGTTTCTGAACGAGCAGGTGTGCTGGAAATGCACTGACCTGAAGAGTGTCGACCAGCTAACTACCTGCGTGAAGACTGCCATCGCATCCAAGCAGTTGGGCTGCGAAGGCCCCCTTGCGAAGCTAGTGGCTGAGGCTTGTGCCCAGGTCATGCCGCCTGTGGCAAGCAAATTCGATGTGGACAACGTCCGTGTGACGAAAGTGCAAGGAGGCAACTTGAACAGCTCGTTTGTCGTAGAGGGCATGGCCATCGCACGACGGACCAGCGGTGTGGAGCAGTTCAAAGAGAAAGCCAAGGCAGGCAGAGCAGCAACATACCCAAAGCCCAAGGCCCAAAGCCCAAGGCTTGCTCCCATGTAACCTGCCAGGTGGCTGTGTATGCCGAAGCACTCGACCTGGGCTCCACTGAGACGAAGGGCACCGTCTTGTTGGAGAGTGCAGAGCAACTCATGAACTTCAGCAAGGGTGAGGAACAGAAGATGGACGAGCTGATCCGTGGCATCAAGGAGGTTGGAGTGGAGGTGGTCATCGTTGGAGGAGCCATCAACGACATGGCTTTACACTTCTTGAACAAGTACAAGATCATGGCCCTTAAGATCTCCTCCAAGTTCGAGCTGCGCCGGATTTGCCGCACTGTGGGTGCCACTTCCGTCATCCGCACCGGACCACCACTCCCAGAGGAGTGCGGTTATGTGGAGTCAATCAAGGTGGAGGAGATATCCTCTGAAAAGTTCACCATCATGAAAACGAGAGACTCCAAGATCGCGACCGTCGTACTGCGAAGTGCGAGCCCCAACGTTTTAGACGAATTGGAAAGGGCAGTTGACAATGCAGTCAACGTAGTGCGATGCACCTGCCGAGACCCCAGATTCGTGGCAGGTGCAGGCGCAACGGAGATAGAGCTTGCACACCAGCTACAGCAGTTCGGTGCCACTGTGCCAGGCCTAGATCAGTATGCAGTCCTGAAGTTTGCCGAAGCACTTGAAGTGGTCCCAAAGATCTTGGCAGAGAATGCCGGGCACAGCCACGTGGATGCGATCACCGCACTCTATGCGGCCCACCAAAAGGGCGAGAAGACCGCAGGTGTGGACGTCGACTCGGGCACCTTGGTTTGCAACGCCGCCGAGCGGGGCATCCTGGACCACTCTGAAACCAAGAAGTGGGCCATCCGCTTCACCCTTGATGCTGTGCTCACGGTCTTGAAAGTAGACCAAATCATCATGGCCAAGCAGGCAGGAGGTCCCAAGGGTGGCGGCGAGGGCAACCGTGACGACGACTGAGGCAGGAATGCAGTGTAGCTAAAGACTACCTGCATAGCAGCGACTACCATGGTCCAAAGGATCATCGCAGGTTTTGTGCAAGATCTTGCCTCGACACAGACGTAGCCCGAAACGGGGGGAGCTATGAGAGAAAACGGAAGACACGAGCTCATGCTGCACTGCTGGATCACATCCAGCAGAATTTCCACAAGACATGCATCTCAGTTCATACACCTAAGGCTGGTCAAGTGGGCACGCGAGAGCCGTGCCGACAAGCACGACTGGGACAGAGCAAGAAGCTCAGTAATATCAAGCTCGAGCTGGTGAGAAAGAAATTCCGAGTGGCCAATTCTGCCGATGGGGACCCCTCTCTGACCAGGCATGGATGCGCGAGCTACTGACGAACGGGGTGATGCCGAACCACCTCGTGGACGACTCGGCTTAGCCTGTGGTCCTGTACATTCTTCATATCCCGCAAGCACAGGAAATGAATTCAACATGGAAGACTCGTTGGCCTAAGGTGCGGCAGCTGCCTGCTGCGATCTTTGCAGGGAAGCTGCTCAAGAACAGGTCCCTGACATACTGTTGCGAAGGATTCCCTTCACCCACGACTGCTGTTGCGCAGGTTTGTTACGGTTTGCCGACCACACTTCAACGACGTTCTGCCACCGCGGTTTCACATGATTCTGGCATTGAATCTGGACGTCCAGGAACTCTGTCGGCATTTGTGAGTCCCTCCGCGATCGTGCCAGCTCAGACGGGGCTTCGGTCACACCGCTGAGGATTTCGAGCACCACCAGATCGTCTACTACTGTGCCGTGGCTAGCACCGGCCAGCATTTGACCGAACATGCATATCAGGCCTTCCTGTAACTAGATAAAATCTCAACTCGCCTCGGTCGGCTCTTGCGATCGCCCACTACAATGCCAGATCTGAGGCTACGATCAGGCCCGGCTTGCTGCTCCAGTTCATGCGATGTGACTGTCAGTACCACGCAGTGTCTGCGACGTGACGAGGTAGCTTTAGCACGTACATGTTCCGACTCTCCTTTCATCTCAGGCGTTCGGGCTCTTCCTGGTGGCACGAGGCCCTTTTTCAGCAAAGCGCAAGTTGCATTGAAGCGTTGTCAACCGACTCGAAATCCGTGCCTGCCATGCGCGAACTGATTAAAAGCCTTGTCACGCACAAGTCGATCAGCACTTGCCCATGCGATCTGAACATCCTTCGTCCCAAGTCCTCGGCTAGGATGAGCTGATGCAAAGTCCCAGAAGCCCAGTCTTAGAATTGAGAGGCATATTTGCTGCAGTCGCGAAGCCTGGAGCGGCTGGTGGGCACATCGAGAACCATGGCTGCATGCTAATCTCCCGTGCCAGTTCACGTAGATTCCGACAAGCAATCCATCCTTCCAGAGCAAAGCATTATGACAACATTGCGCCACTCGATCTGGGTAACATTCCCCCGATATAGAAGCAATGCCAAGCTCGTATGCACAGTGGTGATACGGAGCCGTAGTGAATTGCCCCGAGTGTTGCATAAAGCCCCGAAAACGTGACATGCATAACTCTGCACTCGAAAAGGGCATCCGAGAATGAATTCGTGGGGCAAGCCCAGGTGAAAGGGTTGTTGTAACATGTCTCGATACAAACACCTGCCGCATTCCAAGAAACATTCGTCTTAGCAAGAACCGCAGAAGTAGATTCCCTTTTAAAACACGGTGGGTCACGCATGTTTGTTTCGCCGAGGAAGTTGGATTGGTTGCGGACCATTGCTGCTCGGCTTTCATGAGCCCGCGGTTTGGAGAAGCATACGCCACAACCACTGAAGTTCTGAAGTAGCCATGTCCGGCTGCTTGTTTTTGAGGACTACAGTATTCATGGATCCTTCCATAGCAGCTGCGCAACCCTGCAGAAAGCCCCAGGAAGATGAGCTCAAGAGGAAGCACCGCGAGCGGCTGAAGGCTCCTACACAGGAGTTCCTGAGCCCCCTGGCCTTTCACAGAATTTTGAGGAAGGCCACAGTTGTGCCCTAGGAGCGAAGCGGTCCGAGAGCCCAATCCAAGCCTTGTCAACTTCTCAGAGATGGGAAAACCAACAAAGGACAACGCATTGAAGAGAAGAACGTGCTCTGGCAGCGGCAACTAGAAAGGCTCGGCATTGTGTGTTCGAGTCTCAGCAATCCAGACAGTCTACCCTCCAGGCTGTCCCCATACCAGCTGTTCGGCGAGGGCACGTATTTTGGTGATACGGAGGCTGTTCTGCGGGTGCTGGGCAGGATGCCAAACGGTTTGACCATGGCACCAGCCTAGTGAGACGGATGATGTGAGAAGGGATATGCCGTTTGCTGCTACACCCGGTATCATGCCTAAATATCTTGGCGAGTCCTGACGCGGTTTGTGAAGAAGTTGCCAGTATCTCCAGTCTGGCTCCATGGTCTGGTCTTTCGTAGGTGCTGTCCAAGTTCAGCACCCACCAGCGGCATGCGACGGTTCGCTGCGAGTCGGAGCACGGTGGGTCCTTGCTCCAGCTCCACAAGGACCGTACAAGTACCTGGTCATAGCAGCACGTAGGCAACACTTTTTGCATTGCGCACGACTGCATCCTGCCAAGCTTGCAGAGAGTTCCTATCTTCAAGAAGTACATAGAATGGAATGTCTCAAGCCGGTGTGAGGACAAGCTTCACCAGCTCATGTCAGATTTCCCTCACTGCACCTCAGGGTGCATTAAACGGGGAGTGCAGCGACGGCCATCAGCCGGGCAAGACGAAGGCCTAAGGTCTTCCACACGAGTTCGCCTGTCAAAAAACAGATCACCAAGAACTCCCCGAACCCAGGTCAGCGAGCCTGGCATCTCGAGGCTACCAGGCATGAAGTTCGCCGGCAAGCGAAGATACAGACTCCAAGCTGCAATTCGCTCGGGCTTCCACTTCGACCCGTTGAGCCACCTCCATCTACCTTCCACCAAACGGTAGGAATGAGGGCTTGCCTCAAGCGAGCTGATCCGCACAGACTCACACGATATGAAGCTTGCTGCATGGAATCCATCATAAAACTTCGAAAGGTACTGGTAATTCAAACCCCGTTCGAAGCTTTGAGAACGGAGTCGGGAAAACCCCTGGCAAGTCCAAGAGTGATGCAAGTTTCCGTGGAGGCCAGGTTCATGCTTAATGGCCAGAGTCCGAGCCAAGCAACCAGGCTTCTCACGAAGTCTTTAGACCTCTACGAGTTGGCTACCCTGGAGATCCAGCGGGCCGTGGTGGCCGTGTGGCAAAGAAAGAGGAAGGGTTCCCTGGCAGAAAGAGCCAACACAAACCCCTGTTGTGGGAATCGTCATTATGACTCATGACAGCACGAGTACTCGCGAAGGCCATCCATCCTCGCAATCATGGCCATGATAATCGCCCACGACTACCAAATTGGCCGTAACAGCTTAAGATCATCACATGCGACCTACGCCACTGCTGTCCTTGAAGTATAGACGGATTCCAGTAGCGGCGGTCTTCGTCGTGGTCCGTCCCGTACATGATCTTGATCGTGTCTTCGATTGACGAACGAGTTCACCTCCTGACGCAACTCACCCGACCCAGCTTCAACCGAAACAGTGGCCCTGTACATCGCGTATCGCCTCTGTTGCAGCTAAAGCCACTTTGAGTGCGCACTTCACATTGTCGCCGGCAGACTGCAGCAATTGGGAGGGTGATCGTGGCTAACGGGAGGTATTGGCAACAGGACAGCAGTAAGGGGTCTAGGAGGTTGACGTTGAGGACAGCCAGGGTGGGATTTCGTTCCATCGAGACGAGATGTGTGAATGAGGCTACCAAAAGCTCCGCAAGAGGAAAGAGCCACAACCCAAGCTTTCGTGAGCGTCCAGCGGAGAGATGCTTTGATTCCAATGCCCAGATCAATTTCAGAACAGTGCTTTGACACATGACTTTAGCGCTTCTAGCTGCAGGGTGGATGGCCTTGCTTGCGAACGCATTGTCACTTTTAGGCCTGCAAATTTTCTGCTCCCATTGGATTTGTTCAGGCAGGAGAGTGAAGTGGTATCTGCCACCTGCGACGTGGAAGAGCTGGGAGGACCCGAAAACGTCTAGCAGCCCCATCTGGGCCTCGAGTTCCCCTGCCTGGCCTCCCCTATTTTCTGGCAAGGAGGAGCTCAGCAAATTGCCGAGCTTGGGGCAGAGGTCTGGCTGGCAGCACCTGTCGTGACCATGCCTTCCTCGCCTTTGCTATGGCAGCATGTCAGGTCCAAGATGTGAAGAGCCAGATGATCACGATGAGTCACCAGGTCAGAGATCTGCAAGTCTCCATGTCTCAGGTGCAGGACGGCAGGGAAAAAGAATCCGCAGTCGTATCATTTTTGCATGTGCTGACGCATGTGTGTGTGTGTGTTCTCCAGCTCTTCGGAGGAATCCTTAGCCACCATCGCCGCCTTTATCCGAGAAAACCCGCCTGAGAAGGCGGGTGGTTTGGAGTGCAATGCAGGTGACATGAGTTGATGTACACAGAGGGGTTGCTTTGCGCGTTCAGGCTGCATGATCAGAGTGTCGCATGGGCCTAGCCGGAGTGGCAACGTCAGTCCTCCGACCCACAGCTCTCTTGTGGATTGGAAGGTCATGAACTGTAGCCCAGGCCCATAGAAACCCCGACTTGGCATCATGTTGTTTTCAAAAATCGTAGATGGCACTCGCGACTGAAAGACTGGACAGGCTTCAAGGCCACCACCTTCAGCTCCTGGCTGGGAAGTCTCGCGCGTGTGAGTGCGACCGTCCAAGACGCGCACTCCAATTTTAACTCGAAGATACTCCTCGGGTACCTCAACCATGGACGCATTTTGTTAATTTGGGGCCGGCCGAAACGGCGTGTTTGCAGATCTTGCACTTTATGGAACGTCATAATTTGCAAGCCTGTGCACAAGTGCCAGGCACGACAGGAGAGCTTCAGAATTGGTGCGTCAAATTGCCTACAGACCAGCGCTCTTCGAATCGTAATTGCTAAGCTTCTGAGAAATGTTGAGAAGCTCAAGAAAGCGGCCAGCAGCACGTCAACGAACTGCCTGAGACCTGCTGCCACAACCTGACAACATCTCTTGTGAGAACTTGGGCAAGCTCATTTCCTAGAGTGGCCATTGTATTTACACTGAAGCAACTACAACGAAATAGACTAGATACTTGACAATGGCGGCAAGTGGCAAGCTCAAGGCGCTATGGTCATTGGCCTCAAAGGCTTTCGACGCATGTGGCCTGGAGTGCATCGTCAGGAACCAAAGTCATATTTCAATTGGGTCTTGTGAATCCTGTCCAGCATTCCCATCCATGGTTACTCTTGCCTGACTACCCGGAATGTGGGTTGTCAAGCTCCCCCGCTTTTTAACAGTTCGTTGAAGTAAGGCGTAGCTGGAGATTCTCAGATTTTCTGAGATATTCTGAGATCTTATGAGATTCTTGAATTAAAGGAGGAGCTTTGAGAAGAGAGCTGGGGGCCAATGACAAGTCTCATGGAGTTGCCGATCCCCCTCTTCAATGGAGCTTTTCCGAACGCGCTGCACGGCTTAGCCGTGCCAGCAAGGATCAAGCATGCTCAAGCTGGCCCGACAAGCAACACTTTCCTTGATGCTGTACATGACGGGCTCTGCCAAGAATTTAGTACAGCCCACAGCCCAGTTAGCGCATGCCAAACCAATAAAGCAAGGGCCTGAACATGCTGCCGTGCATTCTCGATGAATGTTTGCAGTGACCTGCCACAAGCAGTTCGAACCCTGCACCTTTGCACCTGCACCGCGAAGTGTGGGAGTCAACACAGTGGTATCTCTCTGTGTCTCTCCGTGGTGGTTTGCCTAGGCATTTAATGCAAAGGTTCCAACAGACTCCCTAACACGGCAGAGACAAAACGGAGCGAAGAGGACAGAGGCTGCAGCTGCAACACCAAGTGATATGCCCGCACCTAGACTGCGACCTTGAGGACACGCTGCATCCTCGTCGACTTGCGAGCCTCGGTGCTCACTGCAGCCAGGGGGGAGCTCGGCGACTTGGAGTCGTCGAGGGTCAGCTGATCCTGGGGTAATTCTACAATTTCTTTCTCAGGATGATTGACTGAGCTCTTACAGAAGCCAATTGGCTTGGTGAGGAGTTGCTGAGTGGGCCGTGGAGAACCCTTTGAGAGCTGCACTGGAAGTGGAGGTTAGTTGCGAGTGGGTCTCCGCACGGGAGCCATACCTGATCTTACCTGCCTGGCCTGAATGTGCTATGAGCCGAAACTCTACGCAGACAGGCCCTAAGTAAAGGCAATTTAATCCAAAGATATTCAAAGCAATACAGCAGGCCGACATCTCTCCATGGCTGCGGACGTCTGACCCGTGGGAGTAACAGCTTCTGAGGGAGATTTCGATGGAGAAAGGATTCTTATGGTCGGGTGTGGCCCTGGCTCTATTGGCAGCATGAGAGCGGGAATCAAGGAGCACAATCGACTGGAAGCGAGTACTTTTACAAGAGCACTTCATGTGCAATATCAGCATGCGCTGGCTTGGGCTCAATATGTCTCTGGAGCCGATGCTAGGATCATGGCTCTGAACCCCGCCGGGGAAAGCCAGGCTGAGCAAGTAGCAATGGAATTCTCATCGGTGACTTGTGCCTCGGACTTCCCAGCAATCAGAAAATGATTCCGCTCGAAAGGAAGAAATCGATACATGTGCCGAAGCGAAGGCTGCAGGTGTCGACCTCAGGCGTCGAATTTCAGTCAGATAACCTGACATCTTCTGCTGTTGAATGAGGCAATGCTGCTTATGCCGCCCGTGCATGTGCTTAACAGCAAGCTGGGCCAGAGCAGTGGCCAACATCAAAATCTCCATGCTCGCCAGGCAAACGGCGACCTTGAAAGTGCTTGGGAACACTACGTCTGCCCAGCATGCTTGTCTGCTAATACTGTCTGGTGTCAGCAGCGTCTTGAGAGCTTCAGGACCCTCAAGACGTAACTTCGGCTCGAACTGCTGGCCCTTAATTAGGTGATGGCAGTGGGCTGCCATAGGAGAAAAATCAGCAGAAGGACAGACATATGACATCCGTCGGCACCGCTGGTCGACCCACGACCAAAGGCTCCGCAGTAGATGTTTACATGAGAAGACCTTCAGGTTCCAGTGATATTTCCATCCAACCGCGAAGCCAACAGGGCCGGTGGTACGAAAGTACCTAGCGAGGCGGCATCGCTTGGGCTTGCTGCAACGGGGGAGATCCACTGCTGGAGAACCTGCAAAGTTCTCGACGCCAAGACACGATCGGTGAGTTCTGGGGTCGAGGGAGTTCTCCGAAATCCGTTTTCACAACATACATGTGAGACGGAGCTATTAACATGTGGCACCATCTCGGACACTAAGACGAAGGCGTGTGAGATTCGCAGGTCGTGCACATACCACATTTCATCATCTTTGCATCCGCCTGGCACGGTCCGTGTACGGACGATGCATAGTGATGAAGAAGAAGCTGAACTAATGCCCTGCCTATCATTCGGAGGCGGACAAGTGCATGCAGACCAGACAGCTTCCGGAGGGTGTCTGTCGCGGCCATGAGGAAACCTTGTGTGCCTAGTGTTGCCGGCGGGACTTCGGGTGCTTTCTTGAACTTGCGACGTTGTCATCCGGAAGGACAGCCCGTCCAGCATGGTTTCATCATTTCCTGCAAAGTCGTATCAGAAGTTCCGTCGCAATGGCTCATCATGACAAGGCCGTCAGTTTTAACGACTGTGCTGCAAACAACTAAGGTACCGTTCTTCTACAGCAAATGTAGCTGTGACGGTTTCTTTCTGTACAGCGGGGTCTGGCAGTAAGCCGACTAGCAGTAACTGCTAAAACTGCGACAGGTTCGTGCTTGTGGCTAAATCTCCCGTGTTGCAGAAAGTTGGGAGGCTTGCATCAGAGCCGAAAGCTGGTTGCTGCGCTCTAGCGAAACAAGCAGGGGAGCGCATGAAGTGCAGAGGGACTAGATGAGAGCACCACACACGGAACTTTCACGGAGAGCTTCGAATCTTCTTGTATGGAGAGCATACAGTTCAACGCGAATGCAACTTGATGTGATGTGCAGATGAATGCGCTCGACCACTGGGCCGACTGCTCAGTCATTGCGGTCTGGCAAATGCTTGGCTGCTCGAGAGCCAGCTTGGTATCGCTACGCTACACGCACCGACGCTCATGAATCAAAAGCTTGCGATACGAGCATCAAATCAAGCTGGCGTTCCATGGACGAATATGTAGCATTCCAAGAATCTCTCGTTCAGAACTATGTTTCGTGTATTGTTGCGTTCCGGGTTCGATTTGTGTGCGTGTGTGTTTGGCATTTATATGTGTTTTTGTTTTCCGGGTTCGCGTCTTTTGGCATTTGTGTTTGTGTTGTGTTCCCGACTTGCATTTGCTGTTCATTCGGGACGTGGCGCTTCCTCAAAAAATGCATTGTTTTTCTGTATCTGGCGTTTGCTGTGCGTTGTTTCGTTTTTGTGTTATTTTTGCATCCGGTGCTTGCTTTACGTCTTTGCTTTGCATGCTTGCTTGCTTCTCGCAAAGCACAAAAACAACTCAAAACACCAAATGCAAGAAGTTGCAGTGCAAAAAATGCAAGCAGCAAATGAAATAATGCAATGCCAGCATCGCAAACAAAATGCAAGCCATCATACCTTCAGCCGGTTCTGGAAATTCACGCAGACTGACCTGCAAGGATTCTTATACATGTAGCAGCTCTGAGTTCCCCTTGAACAGAGGCTTGTTTTCATCCAAGGATGCTGCCTTGTGTGCCGTCCCCAAGACACATGAAACTGGCACGCCGGCAGCTTGGGAGAAGCCAACGGGCCGTTGCGGCATCCGTGAAGCGACCTAGCAGCTTCACCATTCTTTTGAGGCGTGTTCGCTACAGCAAGCATGGCTTCGGAGTGGCATCGTTCTCAGAGGTCGTTTGCGTTAGGCTTATCCATTGGCGAACTGGCCGATGCGTGCTTCGAGCTTGCGCTAAGGTGATGAGCGCATTTACTATGTTCGATGAGTATTTCTTGAAGGCCAGAGTAGACTGAGTCACTTGCGATCTAGTGAGGGTCCTTTCAGGGCCACTGCGGATCACGAGCTTGCAAAAACAGATGTGGTTTTGAGTCACAAGCCCGGCTCGCCAACGCGATGAGGACCTGGGAACTGATCAGGCAATCTGGGCCGTGGCGTCAGACATGGTGACTTTTCAATATCAGGGCTCGTCTACGTTTTGCCCAGCCTAGGCCGGAGAACCCGGTGGCGAGTTAAAGCGCACTTCGGTTTCAATGGCAGCATGTGTCCACCACGGCGGGCACCGGACCGATCTGTGTCACAGTGATTTTTTTCCGAGCTGAGGCTTCGCAGCTGGCGGCTCAGAAATCGGAAGTCTGGAAGTGAGTTGGGACCTGTCCTTTGTCGGGATCAGGCCAATGAACTGCGACCGGTGGGCCTGGCTCCTAACAGTCCTTTAAAGATCGCCTTGACTTACCCCAACTGCCCTACTCGTAGCCGAGGCGACGAGCTGTTTGATCTTCGTTTCACCATCGCCAGATGCTGAGTGACTCCTGCTGAGGACAACATGAGTCTTGCTGGTCAGAGCATATCAGTGTAGAGGGTGCGTAGCTGGGAAAATCGCTGCAACTGTCGGGTGTTCACCTAGTTGCAAGGTGTTCACCTTGTTGGAAGCGACACTTGTCTCCACTCTTGCCAGGCGCAGAACCTTGCAGCTGTTTGCCTCAGGCGCAGTATGTACAAGGAGGCTGGCGTCAAGCTTCGTGTCTTTATTCTCAAAGGATGGTGTCGTATCCAGGCCATCGAGTGGGCAGATGCCGCACTCTCCATGGATGGGAAGGCACCGAAGGCAAGAAACTTAATGGCTGAAATGCCAAGATGCACCTTCGCTTTGGGCGATAAGGCACCTATGTACTCGAGGCTGCATGACAGAAATGTGATTTCGGTTTACATTTCGCCTGCGCAAAGGCCCTGATGCGTTTGGGCGCGGCTTTGCTACGATCAGGCGAGATGTTGGTCTCTTGAGTTCAGGCTGTAAGCTGGCGGATTTTGGCACACTTGCACCTCTGAGCCGTTGATCTGAGGGCATGAGCAGTCAAATGGCCTAAACTAGCTGCCGGAAGAAATGTTGCACAATCTCAAGTGACAAGTCGAAACCGGAGTTTTCTGCTGGACCGGTGTGGTGATTTTTGGGATGGCATGACGCGGAGATGTTTCAGACACACGTATTGACCGGCGAAATGCTTGTTATTGATATTGACTCTTAGGGCCCTACGGCCTCCAAGAGCAGGTGGTCTGGCCGCCGAGCCGAGTCTAGCCGAGTCTCTCCTTCAGGCAAGCCAGGTCCGGCGTCGGATCGCCTGGCAGCAGCACAGAAAGCCATGCCTCCGTCTTGGATTCTGATGTTCGGTCATGACACGCATTCAGCGGTGGTTTTTTTCGGCGGCCAGTCTTTGCTCCAGTGCCAGTGCAGCACTCACGAAATCTGATCGGCGGTGGGGCCAGGACAAGTGCCATCTTGCAGAATCCTAGAGAGGCGGTTGTAGCAGCTCCGTAGCAACGGAAACGGGAGCTTGCGGATCCTGCGAAGCTTCTTCTCAGCCGAGGCCAAATGACCCCGAGGTGCGGAAACTGCTGCGCGAGGCAGAGCTAAAGCGCTCGCCAACATGGGCTTCGGCTTCAGCATGCTGCAGCACATCACGGATGACAAGCAAAGAGCTAGAGTCCACCGAAACTGCGCCATCTTAGGGCCGAGCTGTTTGCAAAGCATATTTCAGCCATTATTGCAGTTTTGGCGCATTCCAAACATGATAACAAGCAAGGTTTGTGCCAACGGGTGCTGTGGTCCCTGGGGCCTCGTGCCGCAGCCTCGTGATGTCTAACACGTTCGCACCGAAGCCCTAAATCCGATTGTGACAGGTGCGGAGGTTCGATCGCAGAGACCATGCCTGGGGCAGCCGGGGTTTCAGTCGCAGGGATGCACCGTATGATGGAATAGAGCCTGGGTTCAAAAAGGGATGCAGCGTAGTCCGATGCTGTGCACGGGTGCGCCTTAGCAGTTGGCTTCTGCGGGGGCAGCAGGATACACTGAGACTAAGATGTGGCTGTTTGGACTGCAGATGCCTGCGGTGAAGCCTTCGAGGTGCAACCGCGTCTAAAGGAAAATAGCAACCTTGCCGACGCGATGGAGGAGGCTGTGCGCAAGAACTGAATTCATCATTGGACTGTTGGGGTGCGGCGAACGTTGGATGGTTAAGGCTTTCACGGGCAAGCCCCTTCTCTACATTGGACTACAGTTGAAGATAGTTGAAGGAATTTCTATGGGGAGTCTCCAAGGCCAATGTGAAATCTATTTGCATCTCTTTCCTATACCTGCTGATGGATGCTGCTCCAGAGAAGCAGACGGCCAGCATTGCACGTTTCTTCGTCAGGATGAGAAGATGAACGAAACGAACATACCGGATCAAAGCGCAACTCGGACGCAGAAGCAGCTCACAGAACCTACACGCATGCAGTCATGCTGAAAATGCCAAAGCTTTTTCTCAAAGCACAGCTAAGGATGCATGCTCGAGTTGTGCAGACAGCTAGGCCCTCAGGATCCCCTCAGGTGTACATAAACCTGGCTGCGTGAGTGAGCGAAAGTTCGCTAATGATACTGCAGCATGACGAATGCTCTAACATCTGTGCACCAGAGATACCCACACTGAATCGCGAACTAAAGTTCCAGGAATAGGTGGGAGTTTATGATGTAGTAGTGTAGTCTTTGGCAGGCTTCCCGTCCCGGCACGTGGCAAATTCCAGCCAAATACACCATGGGATCCTACAAGTATTGCATGTCTGACATCTCGGATCATCTCGGTGAAACTCCAAACATCCCCGAACCCGAACCAAGTTGTGCATTGTACATGCCTTTAGGTTCTCAGTCGATTCCGATTCAGCTCATGCAGAACTCGGTGATATTGAACACCGCTTCGTTTTTGAACTCTTTAAACTCTTGTAATTTGCTATCGTTGTTGAGTCAGTGTTCTGACCTTTGAATTCGCCTACTGGAATCCGGCTCGATTCACGTGCTCAGCATCTTCCTTATAAATTGCATTCCTGGCCTGCTCATGCTAGTGCGTAGGGCGCCGCACTACATTGCCTCGGTTAGAGTTCTCTAGACCTGCGTTTTTTCCATCATCTCCAATCAGCTCATGCTTTTTTCCAGACGCCCCGGATGAAATACGGACAGAATTTGAGCTCACTGCCATGTACACCAGTGTCAAGTTCACATTGAACTCCTGCCACCTTCCTTGATGCCTCGCTGAGTTGACCTTGAGCTCTCATGGAAGTCCTATGCACATGTAAGGGAATGGTCAACCCTTCTAGTAGCTCCTATCAAACTCTGATCAATGGTGAGCATGTTCACGTTTCTGTGCATGCTTCACATGCCGATTTTGGGAGCGCAGTGTTTGCGCTGTTCGTGCTTCCGACATGAAATATTCCTAGAAATCTGGGGTCTGCGGTCGTTTTTGCGAGGCTCTTCCGAGGAAGTCCCAGGACCACAGGACGGCCAACTTCCTTGACAGTCCGATCTCGCAAGCAAGAGCATGCAAACTTGTCTGCAAGCCTAACTTGGACAGATTCGGACAAGTCGTCACATCTTTGACGGGTGTCCCCTGCAGTAGCAGCACATGATAGGAAGCAGCTGCGCATTGCAAGCTCGGTGCCCCGACCAATCTGCAGGCCGGTTCACAAAGTGACAACATCGGTTATGTCAAGTCGTGAACCTGGTGTGAGCTTCTGAGGACGTAGTTCCGAAGAACGACGGTGCTGAAGAGGCAGCTCGGAGTGGGTCTGCTTTGCAGAATGACATATGCGCTGTCTTCGGACGATGAAGGTGAGGTACCAAACTCCTGGGAAGGAACGGAATTCACCGGTGCAATGCAGACAGCTCGGACCCCAGAAATCCCCAGAACACAAATGGCCCGGCACTCGCAGTATCCACCGGCACGGTATCAAGGTTGGGGGCGGCATTCGCAGCCCTTGCTGCAGCGAGATGCTCAGTCGGCAAATGGATGTCTTGAGCACCCCTGTGCCAACATGCACATCAACCAAAGAAAGAATCCTTGAGAGGTTACTCTCAAGTGCCAGCATGTAAGCTCCCGCCAGGCTGCTTTCGTGGCATGGAGGCATCGCCGCATTTTTGCATGACAGCCGTCTTCTGCTTGTGGTAGAATGCTCCCCGATACGCTTGATGGGGTCAACATACTGCGACTCTCCAGTGGGCCTTGTTGCAGGCATCACGCTGAGTAGCCACGGCGCTGTGTCTTTCAGAAGGCTAGCAACATGGTATGGAGCCCTAAGTTCCGGATCATGCGTTGTTGCTTCCTGGAGTTTCACCCGAAAGACGACTGCTGCGGCCAGCGACGATCGCGCTTCAGCAAAAGTCTCAGGATTGGGCCTAACGGCCTATGGGGCATGTGAGAAATACGGAAGGTTTGGTTGCGGAGGTTCGACCTGTGCGCATACTTTGCTTCTCAAGGCATAGTTTCCAGATGCTTCCAGTGAACTAGTCTTGGCCATGTAGGGCTGGGCTTCTTCGCGCTAGCATAAACCCAATTCCAGTGTGTATTGCAGTCGACAAACCACAACAAGTCTCGATTGCAGCTGGAATTCCTTACATCATGGCGCCCAGCCTTACCTCTGCTGGCGCAGCGGCCTTTGTACTTCTGGGCTTTACTCTCTACCAAAGTTTTCTGAGCCGGATCCTCAGCTTGTTTTGAAAGTAGCTGCAAGTAGCTGTGTGTTGTTTCGGTTTCTGCTCTCAGGCACTGGCATCGTCTACGGGTGGCCATCGCTCCTTTCACTTCTGACCAGCGAGAATGTGTATAGACACCGCTGTGAGAATTATGCAGAGAGTTGTCCCGAGCGCACTGTGGCCTTCAACCTTGTTTTTAGCATCGGTGCGATGGTGAACGTTTCTGGCGGCGTGGCCTGCGGATTCCTTGTCGACTCCATCGGGCCACGCAAGGCCGGGACATCGAACAAGACAGCATTCATGACACTGCGGCCGGTTCGTCGGGCATATTGTGGCGCAGCTATTACACTATGTACGTTTGAATTACTCAGAAAGCCATTATGGGGCGTGGTATGGGAAGTCGGCATGATATACTACACAATACTGCAGCTTATGCACCTACGGACACACAGTGTTACGACAAACTTCTCAGCCCTTCCAGGCATGCAAAACCTGTAGCGAAGCATGATTTGCTGTGTCTGCCGCACAACAAGAGCCGATTGCCTCCTGGACCGAGCATGAAGACAAACAATTCCAGACAACGACTGGGAACAAGAGGTGGAACAGCATGCCAATGCCTCCCATCTGGAAGCAGCTCAAGCTGGTTTAGCCTACTGCGCATGCAGCTAATATCTAGTTATCTAGTTTAGCAGCTTTCTCTGCTTTGCAGATCAGAATGGGCACAGTCTAATTGCTCGTGCCGTTTAATACGCTGTCGACGGAAGGATCGACGGCTGTTTACGCAGCAACAATTTCGACAGACTGCTCAATCTGTTCAGACGCGAAGGGGCTGTTGCACTGTCCAGGTTAAACCGCTTACGCGTTGCAATGTGCTGCCTACCACAGCTGGTCCACAATTCTTATCGGCTCATTGCCGAATGGCGCACCTGAAAAACACCAGCTTTGTTTGCAAACGCAGTTGTGTTCATACACCTTTAGTGGAAAGTCTGTACAGCAAAGCCTCTGGAATGAACAGCGGACGAACAGTGGGATTTTGGGTCTTCGCTCATGGCATGAGTACCACTTCTTTGTTCTTCAGTCGGATTAAGTGTGCATAGATACAAGCCTTCCGCGGGTCATCTGTGGGAGCCGACCAGGATCGGAGGGTTCTCTCCGCGGTTCAGGTACGGCTAGTCACCTTGCCCATGTCGCTCTCTACCGTCCCGTCAGGATGGGCATACATCGATGATAGCTGTAGGATGAAGTAGGCTTGTCGCCCAAGTGGCGCGGCCATTGTCGCCTAAGACCGCCTTCTTTGCACAGTCATGCTGCGGCCGCATCCTTCGCTTTCGAACTTTGCAACTTGGCGTGCCATGCTGCCGCCACAGTCCCACACACATCTTCGCCGTAAAGATTGCTCGAAAGTGCTTCAAGTTGGCCGAAAAGCTTAAAGGGGCAGCAAACCCACGGCATTCGAGGTTCTTCAGCGTGATCTCGAAATCACGCGTCTCCACGCCGTTCTGGCTTTGCTCCTTGGGGCGTGCGTGCCCGCCTCGCGACAACGTGTGCCCTCCACAGAACCGTGAACGTTTTGGCCCTTCTGGCTGTGACTTGTGTTTCTGCCCCCTCAAAATGTCTCTGGTAGGTACTTGTTCACTTTTCGGGGTCTGTGCTGGCACGGAAAATATTTCGATGATCGTTTCTGTGGCAATATACATGCATAAATGCATGTTCGTGCATCTGTGCATGTGTATGAAAATTGCACAGGGCATCCTCACGGGCTTGATCTTGATCATCACGGGCAGCCTCTGTTTGGGCTTGGCAGACGTAGAAAGCGACTGGGCCTGGCCCGCCGCCTACGTCTTCTACGGACTTGGGGGCTGCTGCGTCCATCTCTCGAGCATCTCGGAAAAAGCTAGTGCTCGACAGTGGAAGTATGAAATTGGTGTTCTCCTGAGGCTTCTCTTTGGGCAACGCTTTTGGAAAGGCCAAGGGCCTGGTCATCTCCTTGTTTGTGGCAATGTTTTCGATCTCAGCACTGGCGTTTCAAGGCCGTGGCCATTGGGGTTGAGCCGCAGCCTGACCCATGGAAAGCCTTAAGGAAAGGAGCACCCAACTCGAATCCTACCACCCTGGTGAAAACGTGTGTGCAGGAATAGAGAACAAAGGAGAGGCATCAAAGTCGCAGCCGCAATGCAAGGAAGAGCTCAAACCACTAACATACAACATGCTTCACCGGGGGATGCAGGGGTTCGATCTGCAAATCTAGGCTTTCTTCAAGCTTGTGCGAGCAGTAAGCCAAATGCTGTGGCAGTCTTCGACCTGGCCTACCGGGCTGGCCTGACGCTTCGAGTCGTGTCGTTGATCCATGTTAGCTTGGAGGTGCTCAACATGCGCCTTGGTCCTGTGTCTTTGGAGACGTCAGACTTGGCTGTTCTGAAAGGTCAGAGTCTAGGAAGGCCTGGCTGGCATGCCCAGGCCCTAGCCCAGCCATCCCAGCCCTGCCACCGTCAAGGTGCTTTTCCGGATGGCTGTGGCCAGATTCAGCACTGAAACCAGGCATCTCGCCTTATTGCCTTCTTGCCCGTTGCTTACACGGACACGGCCGACACGGCCGGGACAGCTGTAACTGTATAGTTTATCACCGAAGGCCACCGCAAGGTGTCATGAGCCATGTTGCCAAGCCTCGGTCGAGGTAGAGAGATCCATGGTGACGAGTGGTTTGTTTCCATGTTAAAGCTAGGTTTGATTCTGCAGGCGACAGTAGATCTACTCTTGGCACAAAGCTTCGGCTTCGAGATGTGCATTCTTGTAGCCGGAATCTGCAGAGACACATCTTCCAGCGTACGAAAAACTATGCTTATGGCAGCGTACGTGTGATGCTTCATTCGAAGACCGAACATGGAAGGAATGCGTTTGACCTTTGAGCGATGCCGCATCAAGTCAAGTGGCGGCATGGAGCACCTTGGACTCCAAGAGGTGCTCGTACGTGGTGAAGCAGTGTCTTGAATGGTACCTGTTTGCTGCCAACTTGTATGCTCCAGTGCAGCAAAACAGTTGCTTCAGCAACTGACGCCATCAAAGAGTGTTACAGTGCCAGGAGACACCGGTACACCAGGATGCAGGACCTCAGGAGGTCCCTCAACAGCCATCGTCAGCCAGAACACCTCGTGCCACATCGCAACACGCGCACACACACACTCGCTGACTGTTGGGATTGGAACACTTTTGCAAAGCCATATGCTGACGTAACAAAGGCCTAGGGCCTAACTGACTGGTCTCATGCCCCGCAATAGCAAAGGTGATCAGCTCGAGTTATCTCGTGCCTCGAACCTCCACCTGCCTGGCCAAACAACAACATCCAACCGAATTCCATCGCCAGCGGTCATGCATATGTACGGTAAGAGTCGAAGAGCACATGCTTTGAAAGAGCCGAAGTGGCACAAGCACTGAACGGGGTTCGGGTTCTTTGAATAGGCCCATGCCATCGACAGGGACTCTGGCACAACACAAACGAAAGATAAACGGCTGTGGAATGAACTCCAACTCTGACCCCAGTGTGGCAGAAGGCGACATCACATGCAGCGAAGTTCAGATTGTAGCAACCGTGCTTCACAGACATGTATTCGAAGTATGGCCACCAGCTGGAGTAATTAACACTCCCCAGGTGCATCATGTAGGTACGTTTGCACTGCATGCACAGAAGCGTCTTCGTTGGAGACTTCTGTGATGCCCTTCCGCCACCTGCTGTATATGGAGGAATTAGTGCAGAATGTGAAGCCTCTTGGAAACAGCATGTTCAACCACACACACACACACAGACACAGATAAAACGCGCTGCAATCAAAACCTCAAGCCTCTGCTTCTTCGATCAACCCAAGGCCGGGAATTGCCGGGAAAAGTCTTGCTGCTCGGGAGCGCTGTGTCTCAGCGCTGGGCATTGATTCTTGACTGCAGCTGTTCCACTCCAAGTAGCCCACCTTTCTCAGCTTCACAGAATCCTGAACATGAGGCGAGGACCTACAAGTTTGTGGGGTTCCTCACTTTCCACTTCACCCAGCTCGGTCTGAATCGATGCTTAATGGGGTGGATGGCAGCGGAGCTGCGTTGGAAGCACGAGGAGCTCCTCGGTGCCTCCAGACCGGGGCTCGACATCGAGCATGAGCTGGCCATGTTCAATTTTTTGCAAGCAGCTGCTGGCTTCATTTCCATCCCTGCCTTTGGATGGCTGGTGGCGCGATTCGGGCACCGGCGTGCTCCTTTCTGTGCTACAGCCGGCCTTGCCGTTCTCTTTCTCGCCATCCGGCCCTTTAGCGAGCCGCTGCTAGGAAACAATTCCAAGCAAAATTTTGTACTTAGAAACCGTAGAAGCCCGGCAGTATGCGTCCGTTTTCCACCTGATTGAGAGGGGACGTGAAGTCGAGGTGGCTTTTGCCAGTCCTTTACATCGTGTCGGCTTGCCACCGTCAGCTGTTCTTCTCGACATTCTTCACGTTCATGATTTCCGAGCCGCGGCACGACCTGCGTTCCGGGAGAGGGTTGACCCATAAGTATGCAGTGGCATTTCAACCGACTCAGGAATATCCCGCCGAGTTGTTCGCGACACTGGCTGGAATGGCTTCTATGATGCATCAGTGAGTATAAGTATAGGATGCAAAAGAGATTTCGAGCTGCCGTCAACCCAGGCGAATGTTCTGGCTGGCATAGTGTCGTTCCTGCAGAACCCACTCTTGGACGTTGTCTTGCGCAACATGGATGGCGACTTCTTCCTGCCACTGCTGGCACAGCTAGGACTGCTTGTAACGCCCGTCAGTGGATTGTTCAAGCTGCTGAAAATGCTCCACCCGGACGTTGTTACTCTGCTGTCGTTCAGAGGAACCTCCCTGTGAGGAATCGCTGCCGTTGTGTTCGTCTGTTCCCTGATCGCCTGGTTCTACGACAAGCCCGCGCTTCCGTGCCCGGGCGGACCGTAGCATGTTCTCATGGGGCGATGATCCGCTTCATGTAGACAAAAGCTGAGGCCACCAGCAGCCCTCGACACGGAGACTGAGCCAGGGCAAACTAGCCCACAATCTGCCAAGCTGAGCCCACAACATGCATCGGCTTTAGATGAGGCTGCAGACACAAAGCTGCAACTCTGATTTCCGACGAAGCGTTGTTGTGCGATGGCAAGATGTTCAACTGACCGTCCTTGGCCTCTGCCGAGCTGTTACATTGACTTGCCATTAGTGCCTCCTGTTTGGGGAGACTGGAATTCGAAGCGACTTCCGAAGTGCTGGTCATGCAAAACGAATCAACTGCGAAAGCCGACGGTCTTTTCATTTGAGGTCCGCCCAGTTACCTATTGTATCGGGGATGCTTCTCATTCTGCTAGAGCTGCTGAGCAAAGCTGGCTCACAGTCCAGAAATCGGCCAGGGACACTCACGGACACTGTTACCCAGAGCCCCTGCGACGACCCGTTTTGATATGGAGGCACAGGCCAATATAGCAGTCCTCACACACAAAGACCGGGCGACGCCTACTTAGGTTTGACTGCTGACGATGATCCCAGCACTTGCAAGTAGCTCCTGCCATTGCAGACCCCACCCCCTTAGCCGACGGACAGCCGCGTGCACATGGAACGGTAATGGAGCCAGAGTCGGTCCAGAATCCGACATCGAAGTATCTGAAGCGGCGCCTGCCGACTGCGAATCCGGAGCCCTTGAAAGTCGCTGAACCATTAAATGAAGCGAGACACGAGACTCAAGGAGGTCGGGCCAACAGAGCAACATCGTACGCTGACAGGCGGTTGCCAGCAGTGACCTCTTCTCAATCGGATAGCGGCTTGTCTGGGAGCTCGAGGCCTCACAGCGAAACACCGACAGATCAAGAGAAGGAATGTCCTGCACAACGCAGAGAGCCATACCTTCTGCGCCGGCGTCAGATTGACTTCACTTGGGTCGATCTGGACGGGGTAGCTGGCAATCAGCAGCCTCAAACTTCGGGCACGCGCTTGTCAGTACATGGCCGAGGAAGCCACATTTTTCGAACCGCGGAGGACATGCTACATGTAGGTCCTCTCGCCTTCGGCGACTTAACTGACAAAGGCTATGTGACCTCTTGTGACAGGCAAGGGGGTAGACATGAGCATTTGGAGCCAGTGCTGTTGAATATTTACGACCTGGGAGACAGCAAAGCCATCCAGCGCCTGAATGTACTCCTCAAACCCATTGGTTCTGGTGCATACCACGCGGCCGTACAAGTTTACGGACAGGAGTGGAGCTTCGGAGGCTTGAGCATTGACGATCCTATTGAAGAGGGGTTCGAAACTGGGATATGGAGTTGCATGCCTCAGGGTTGCAGGCAGCACTCTTACCGAGAAAGTGTTGCAATGGGGCACACTAGCCACTCGCATGTGCAGATTCTCGAGATTATTCGTGGCATGATGGATGAATGGCCCATGAATAGCTACCAGATTCTGCGGCGAAACTGCTGCCATTTTTGCGATGCTTTTTGTGAACTGATTGGTGTAGGGCCTTTGCCGGCCTGGGTTCTCAACCTTGCTGGTGTCGGTGCCTCGCTTGAAAGCATGCAGAGCTCCACCTTTCACGCTACCGCTTCTGCAGCAAGTGTGGTGAGGGATTTGGCGTTGCGGATCAAGAAAGAACGAGCCTAGCCTGCCTTAAGCCACATTCAGACTCGTATTTGATGTTGCTTTCTTCACTGGAGTACATCTCTTGAACTTAGACTCGGCGAGCCATCATGTCCATAAGAGAACTCGCCGTGTTCCCTGTCCCTCAGTGACCTCTTGAAACCCTCAAGCTCCTGGTTTGATTGGGAACGGCAATTAATCTCCGCGTGCCCAGTTGCCGAGTGTACGTGGTTGCAAAGGCTCGAGCCATCAGAGGTGCATGTCAACCGCTGCAAGCATGCCTGGCTGCCACTGACAACAGGCCTTTGAATGAAAGAGACACCTAGAGATGCTCATAAGTCACATCGCGTTGCTTCGAGGCTTGTAATCTTACTGCACTGCGCATGCAAATTCGAGTTGGGCTGTCATTCCATTGAATCATGAACGTGTGTTTCGTGTTGCCGCAAACTTGGGCTCGAATGGATGTTTGTGCTGGGCTCATCGCGCACATAAACATGGATTCAGGCGACAGGTTGTCTGGTGGGCTCCCCACAAAAGGCTTGATCAATTTCCTAAGGACAAGTAAGTTTGCCGATCACATGGATGAGGCGGAAAGCATCAAGTCCGTCAAGCAGAAACGGAAGAAAAAGAGCTTCGCCAAGAAAGCTGCGGCCAAGCCAGGTGCAGAAGGATCGGAGGAGATAACAAGCCCACCACCTGACCGGGCTTCAGATGACGCTTGTGCGGATGAAGATTCAGCTTCAGCAGACAGCGAGCGAGTGGCTACTGAGCGCTCGCCTGAAGAACCAGCGCTTGAGGAACGCCGAGACTCGCAAATGTTTACTGATGTCGTTTGCCCTGCAGCTTCGCAAGGTGTGCTTGAGGACGATGGAACAGATCTCATCAGCCCGGTACCCCAGGCAAAGACAAGGCGAATGCAAACAACGTGGCCCCCGGATCTGGATGGCAAGACCGCGTTCTTCCAACTCAAGGACAGGGGTGAACAAGTTTTGTCTTGCAGGAGTTGGGTTTGAGATCTGAGTCCATCGCAATCGCAGGAACATGAGCTGCCTGGCGACGGTATTGCTTCCATGCACTTCAACCGAGGCTTCAATTTCAAGCCTTTCATTTTCTTGCCATCCGTACTGCTGGCGGCCATGTCCGACTCGCCGGTGCTGACGTACGAGACGGCACATATTCCAAACAGTGGAACTGCAGGCGTAACTTGTGCCTTTGGCAAACCCGTGTCAGACATCTTCCAGAAAAAGGAGTACTGTCCCATCATCGCGGGCATGAGCCCCTGGTATTGGGCAGTCGGTTGGTACAGTGCATTCCTCTTGACAGTTGGAATCTGCCACATATGTGGGCGGCGAATCCCGATTCAAGTCGTTCCTGGCGTTCCCAATGCCACCTACGCAAGCCCCATATGCCGTTTCTTGGATGTACAACGTGCTGGCTATGATGACAACCACTTGTTGGGTTTCTTTCTTCTCATTACCGCTTGCTTTGTGCACTCTATGATGGTACGCTTCGTCGCCACGCCGGAGGGGAAGGATTGGGGGCACGCATGCCTACGATACGGAAGCTGGCAGGGTTACGAGGACTACTGCCAGCCAGGCCCACTGATGGAGCCGAGTTGGACAGTGTTCCTGGCTGCTAGGCCCATGTTCAGAAGACATGTTCATCATGAATTTAGACATGCTGCAGGAGTTAGCACGCGAGCGAACCTTCATGAAAGATCCCTAGTCATGAGCTGTGATTATTTATGCAGCCACACTCACTTGCACAACGAATGTCATTATGTGGAAGCATCGTATTCTCTCGCAGGCATACTACCATACCCATAAGAGTGTCATGTTGTTCCCACGCTGTTTCCCGCCTCTGCCTACGTTCTCTTGTTAACCTGACCTGGATATGCGCTCCAATAGGCTTCCATACTCTGATCCAACAGCGGTTCGGCATTTCTTCTTTAAGGCTGCCTGGGCCGTGGAATTTGCACCTGTCCTAGCAACGCGACCCAGTCAGCTAGGTGGGAGGCGGAAGATATTTCCAGATCCAGCCGCCACGCACATAAATCCCGATTCGTGCGGAAGTTGTCCGAGGATTCTCTATATGGGGTCCTGCCTATTCCCGTTCCATACTGGTATTTCGTTCATCAACGTTGCGCAATCTAGGCAGCCTGAGCAGTCTCATTATCACCCTTTCGTGTTGATTTGGTAGAATACTGCAACTACTCGCCTCCTACTGCTACTCTGGAAATGTCCGCCAGCGAAGCCGCAGCTCAGGTTTTAGTGTCGGTGTGCGCCATGTGCGCCCTCTGGGACCAGGGCACCGTCGTCGAAGGCTCAGAAGATCGGAAAGACGAGTCGGGCTATGCAGAGGTGGGAAATACTGCCGTCCTTGGTGTTGTTGTTCTTCCCTTTCGTACAGTGTGGTCGCATTTATGCGTCTTTGTACCTCTTGCTCTTGCTAGTAGCGTTACCAAACAGTGTAGTAACATTGAAGTGACTACATTCAGAGCACACAGTCTCGTGCATTCCGCTTGTCCCGTGCCTTTCCTCCTCCGGAAATCGTGCTCCCGCCACAGCGCCGTGCATGTTCTGAGGTGTGCACACTTGAGCATAGTTAGGCTACGCCTCTAAATCGGGCATGGGGTGTCAAGGGAGCCGTGGTCCCAGCTGCGAACTGCAACATGCTATTGTGCCCTTATCTGGGTCTGCATCGGGCATGTTTTGGATCACTTGTGTTTTAATCGCTTCGCGTCGTCCGCCTCGGCCCGGCCCTCCTTCGACCAGCAGGTGCATTGTTTCAGAAAGCAGCAACCCGAAAGCCTGGGTATAGGCCTTAAATCCAAGACTATACCCCAAACCCTGAAGCTTAAACCCGAAACCCTAGACCCGCAGCATACAGGGAGAGTCGCGTCGCCACCTCCGCCCGACAAAAGTTGCCTTGCCGAACAAGTTTCGAGGCGAGAACCTTCAAGCGCAGAAACCTTGCAGTCTCAGTGTGCAGCGGATGACCTCTGCGCAAGTCTTCTGCATAAAAGCATGGTGAAGGGGGCGAGGGCGGGGGCGGCGCTCTGCCGGAAGGGGGGAAGCAAGCGGAAAAGGTAAGTGAAACTGCCCCACCTACAGCAAGCCCAAATCCATTGGAGGAAACGAAATTAGTGGGACCTTGGCTCATCCAGAGGTTCACACAGAGGAGGGGGGGGTCAGGCAGGGTCGTTTTCAGGGAATCCGTATAGGCACCTCTGACCGCTTCGGTTGGGGCCGAGTTGAATTTTAAGGAGCCCATTGCAGTGTTCATGAAAGGAAATCACATGTCAGGACGTTACAGTCGATCGACTGGACGCAGCAGCGGTAAACCTGAAGGCAATTATCCGCTTCCAAATGTCTGAGACAGAGACTTGGTGTGTTGATCAGTTTACCGTCATGTTTGTCAAGTTTTGAACACATGCAATTCCCAGGTTTCGAAGATTCTGGGTGCATTCATGTGTTTCGATTCTGTCCCAAGAACCTAGTATGAGACTCAAGCCGCCCCAGCCTTTACTCATTCTACAGATCACAGGTGCAACCTACAGTACCGAGGCTAGGCACTCCTCTGCAGCACCTCCAACATCGGATGTTTTCAACGCTTGCCCAAGGCACCAGCCCCCAAAAACAATCACCTGAAACTTCATTTCTGCAGCCGGGCAACAAAAGCAGTGTGAGCAGAGAGGCCGAAAGTGCCGGTGGGGCCGAGGGTTTTGAAGTTTGGGGCTTGTTGCTTCAGGTTGGTAAGGCGAGGAAAGTTGCTGGGAAAAGGGTCTGTGCGCAGGAACCCTTTTGCCGGTCACCCTTATCATCATCGCGATCATCATCGTTATCACTGTGATTATCTTCACCGTTGGTATCATCATCATTATCATCATTGTTGGCATCACCATCCCTGTCATCATCGTTGTTAACACCGTTATTACCATCGCTATCAGGCATTATCATCTTGGTTGGTATCATCACCATCATGCGGTGGATTTTTGGGGGGGGCTGGGACCTTGCCCAAGACTCCGGGTATCGGCTCAGTCGCTGTCCGGGGACTAGTACATACAGATTCGTGATTTCAGTGGCAGTAAGCATACCATGCGCAGCCAAAGAGTACTCATAGCAACCATCGTGTAGCTGCACAAGTCGAAACCATGTTGATCTTGACAGCTCAGGAGAGGCTGCTGGAAGCGGAGCCCACGCGGCTCGCTATGTTCATCGGCTGGAACAAGCTGCAGGCTCAATCTGCACAGTTGATCCTTGTTACAGCCTGTATGGCTCGCAAAGGCGGTTCGAGAGAGCAAACCAGCTCGAAGGCTGCGAGAACAGACAAATGTCATAGTTCTCCCGAGCGCAGCAGTTCAGTTCGGCTCCGAAAACAACTGAATTTGCTTTGATCGCATCGAGAATGCAACGTGCATGACATGTTGAAGTGCTTGAAGTTCAAGCTGCAAAGCCAGGGCTGTGTTGTGAGAGGCGTGGCTGGCCGGCAAGGACCCACCCAAGAAAGCCGTCAGGCGGAGACTGGGCTGCTCTAGGGCGTCGTCGTTGCTTGGGGGCTAGGCATGGGATCCATTCCTCAGCATGTACTTCTTGATGCGATGCGCATTTTTATTTTTTTGTGTTTCCTTGGTCTCATGCCTGTAATTTTCAGATTCAGTCAGAAAATCCTTTCGACATGCTGGACATGCTCAGTGGTGTTGCTACTTGTGAAGTATAACGTCATCGTGTACGCTGTGATTTGTTCATGTCCTTTCATGCCCTGTTTCTGCGTCGTGTGTGAATTTGCATAAATTGCCTCTTCGTCGCGACCGACAGCCCTGAACATTGCTTCTGAATCTCTAAGGACCACCTTTCTGACAGTGAACTTTTTTTCCAAATCCAGCGACGACATGCCAGACAAAGTGGACTTGGATGCCGAAGGTGTTGAAGGGGAGACAGACTTTACAGTCCGCTTCTACTGCAAGAAGACTGGTAAGTGTGTGAGAAGCTTCCTGGCTGAAAGTGCAGCGACCGCCTCTGGAACATGGTACATCACAGACCTGCTTCATTGGGGATTGTAAACTAGAGTGATGCAAAAAGGGCTGGGGGAACATCCGTGGGGCCACAATGTTCCGTGGCAGAGCCAGTTCTTTCAGTCAACGAACGTACTGAGGAGTGTCCTTATTAGCATCCCGATGTGTATTTTGCATAACTACTAGTCTATCCATCACCCAGACAAACCGGAGAGCTGCAATGCCGTTGCCTGACAATTTGCTGCACACAAGGAACCCACGCTTACAACGAGGGTCGAAACCGTCCCAGTCGGTGCAGGTTTTCACGATGCTTTGCTGGAGGTCCTCAGGCTTGCTGGCTCCGAGGATGCCTTGCCTGATGCATTGCAGATGGCCAAGGAGGATCTGGAAGTGCAGATACTAGGCCAGGTCCGAAGAAACACACTGAAAACGATAGAAACTATCTTCATAGCCACAGCCGGGATCGAGTAGTCGAAGAGAGAAATCTTCCAAAAGAAGGCTTGAATGTCTTTGCAGGGCGGTTGGTTGACGCTCCTTAGTTGTTATGCGGGTGTCCACTTCCGGGGCGGGGGGTGTGGATGGGAGGGGACGAATGAGGCCGCTCGTGCAGATCGCTGAACCTTGTGCTTCGTTCGTTTGCTCCGGAACCCTCGAATAACTAAGGCCTCCAATTTCCTAAGCAAGCCCTGAACAGCCATGTTCTGCTTCTGAAGGCTTCCAGAATCCTGCCGAAAAGTCGAACCCGGGAAATGCGTATAAAGGCGTAGTCTAATTATTAAGGCCTCACCTTTTTCGGCTTGCTACCGCCTCTACTTCCTTAGCAAACCTTGCAAGCCCTTGTCTAAAGCCCTAAAGCCCGACAGAATCCTTCGTCCCGTATTCGAACTCGTATGGCCTCGCTTTTGTGAACCGTCCTGAAACACGCATCCTCCGATGTCCTCTTGCAGTATTTTAGGATCCAAGCTTTCGGATTTTTAGACTTCAAGAGTTTCAGCATCCAGATCCGTACTGGACTCAGTCTCGGAGTAGTTGAGCCGGCATCATTTTGTACTGTGACAGTCCTACAAGTGTAGGGGCACAAACCCACCGCTCACGAAGTAGTTGGCTCCACGGTTTCACCTGAATTGCTTTGACATCCCCTGGCCGAAACCCCAAAGGATGCTGCCCGAGCGGAATTGAAAACTCGATTGACCTCGGGGCTGGTTTTTGGCAGTTGCCAGTTGCCGCTGAGGCGCAGGCAGCGAGGACGAGAGGGCTCAGCTGTTGAAGGACTTTTTCAGACGGCGCTTGATGCTCCAAGAAGGCAAGATGGGAAAAGTTCACATCAAGGAGCTCTACAGTTTCTGTGATGACACGATGAGGATTCTAGGGAACACTGTGGAGACCAATTCAGACGGTGCCAGCCGAAGTAGCAAAGCACGCCTCAGCTGTTTGCCAAAAAAACCTTCCGACGACTTGGGCATCATTGACCGCTTTCTCGATCGGTGGCACCTCCAGGACGTGGTTGGACGGCGCACAGATGCATCTTTGGCTGTGTGATAACTTTCATCCAAATCTTTTCTTCTCAGGAGGTTGAGGCTTTCCATTCAAGACATATGTGAGACGCTCAGGCTTACAATGCCGCGGGCTATCTGTTCACTGCCATAGGTTGTATCATCACTTCCATTATCTCCCCACAAGCGGATGCCTGGGCGATCGTCTATTGGTTGGCAAACAAAGATGGGCTTGTGGAAGATCGCTGTGAACAGACATCTTCTGTTGGCTTTGCAAGCCCGTGGTGCAGCACCGCGGCAAGTGTCAGCATGCAGCGACGCACGTTTCGCCCGGAAATTGCATTCTTCACAACCAACCGGAACGTCTGGCTGGCTTCTTGGTTTCAGCAAGGAATACTGTTCTGTTGCAACATTTGCTTCAACTTTACGTTCTTCCGTGACCGGGACACATTGCCAAAAACTCATCCGAGGTTTGTCTCTGCTTCCTTGCCAAATTGGGAATCTTCGGAGTTCTTGGCTACTACTTTGCCGAAACTGTCAGGAGGACTATTCGGGGATTGATGCAAGCTGCACATCCCATGGTCAGCAGGCATGAATTATAGAGCTTATCTCTAAAGCCTCGTGTCATTTCATGTCGGTCACCAACCCCCAGACTGTACTCGACGTACATGAACCGCCCAGGTCATCCTGAACTCGATTCTCCTCCATTGGGCCCAGCTGCGATCCGTGAACACATCCCAACTACATGTCTGGAAGCGAGTCAGAGATTCCATTTTGTTTAACGACGTGAAGTTCATCTTGGATCGCTTCGAGAATATTGTGATTGCCTACCTGGGAGTGGCATTCTGGCTGATTTCCGACTCAACCTATCAAATAGTCCTAAGGAATGAGGCACCCACCTTCTTGGCATTCTATGTTATTGTCTTCTTCACGGCGGCCACAGCTATATGCCTGGGTGCAGCCCTTTCCTGCCATCTTGCCCAGGAGGACCGAGAGCTAGCAGATCTGCACAGGATTTCTCGGTGTAATAGGGGGACATGCTTGCGGAGTGCGGCAAGATCAGTGGAGTTGCCCGCCTTCACTGCAATGCCTTAAACAAAATCTCTTGCTGGCCAAAACCTGCGAGGAAGTTTGCCAAGAAATCGAAATTAAGGGAAGCACCAGCTCGTCAAAAACATCAAGAAAGGGGCTTGTTCCCGGAACCACTACAACAGCGGTAGTGTCACAGAAAGTGAACCTTGCACGAAGAACCTTGCAGGAGCACACGAGGTCGCTTACCAGACTCAGGGAGGCGTCGATGCTCAGGACGGGAAAGCACGTGGAGCACCAACGCGCACTGCTGGACATGATGATCCAGCGCCTCGATTCCGGGGGTGGCTTGGCAGTCATTTTAAGCAGTTGTTCCTGCTTATCTCGCACAACCCATACAGGTACATGAACGATGATGCTTGAAAGGGCTCACCTGAAAAAAAAGGTGACTACCAAACGAAAATGCTCTACATGCCATTGAACCCCAAGCTTCAGAAAGTTCTACTGGGCTATGTGGTCGTGTCCGCAGCTTCCGTTGTCGGCCGCCTTGTGTCCAATGAGCTTCCTGCCTAGCGGTAGGGCGAGAGCGAAGCTCTGCGCCTTTGGAAACAACTCGTAATACTAGTGAGAGTAATGACGATATGGTCAATAGCCGATGACAAACTGTAGTAGTAGTAGTAGTAGTAGTAGTAGCAGTAGCAGTCGCAGTCGCAGTAGCAGTAGCAGTAGCAGTAGCGGTAGTAGTAGTGGTAGAAGTGGTAGTAGTAGTAGTAGTAGTAGTAGTAGTAGTAGTAGTAGTAGTGGTGGTGGTGGTGCTGGTGGTGGTGGTGGTGGTGGTAGTGGTAGTGGTAGTAGTGAGTGTAGTAGTTGTTGTTGCTGTTGTCAGAGTCAGCGGCAAAGTCAGGAAAAGGGGTAGGAAGTGCTAGTAGCAGCAATAGCAGAGGCAGTGGCTCTAGTAGTCGTTGTGGGATAACGACAGCGGTACCTCGTCGGAGTTGAGCAGCAGTAGTAGTCGCATCCTAGACAAATCCACAAGAAGCCAGTACGATTGGTAGCGGAAACCAGTTCTTATCTCTCTACGAACAGCAATTCTTGAAATCGTGGGCAAAGACTGCCTATCTAATTGCTCATCATTCCCTTCTGACACGTTGCACTGTGCCTTGCGAAAAAATTGGCCCGTCTGACAAATATTATATATTTATATATATATCTATGCTTATACATATGTGGAAGGATGCAGCACGAAGCTCCGGAGAGCCGGATTGTATGAAACGATGAAACGATTCACAATAATTTCTCGTCTTATGGGACCAGGGGCAGACGGGGTCGTCCCAACAAACCGTCTCCTGAAAAGCACATTCAAACGCGAACTCCACAGAACGGCGCAAGGCAACACCCCCTAAGAGGGCGCTGCCCAAAAGGTCCACGCACACTGTGGCTTTGACCGTCCATTATACCTAGCCGCGCTAAGCTTGCACTGCGAGCCAGACGAGCAGTCATTTGACGGAGGGCAAACACCAGAAACCTTAACTTATCGTTACTTTTATGTTTTCAGACCATGATCAAATGATGATCTCAGATGTGTTTGGATACAACCTCGCCCCACCACATCTCCAGTTTCTCGGGGGAGAGACTCTCGCTAGAGATTGCCATATGTCAAGACTAATACAGAACTCGAACTTACAGCTGATTATATAAGATTTATCACGAAAGCTAGCGTAGCTAGTCTTTCGTATCTATCTCCGTTGGGAGTGGGGGGTGTGATTGCTCGAAACATTGTAATTCCTTGAAAAGTCACCAAAGAAGCCCCCTCCCTTCCTGATTTCCATGCAATCCACCCCTCCCACCGTAAATAAACTCCACTGCGCCCGCACGAAGCACCGACGCGAAAGGCACCACGAGTGCAGGATGTATTGGAAAAACTGACACAAACGGCATGTCGGTCTTCGCGCGGTAACATCAACATCTAGGATGTGCTATAAAAAGTGATACAAACGGCATGCGCTTGCACGAAATATCGACGCCACTGATGCGAAAGGCACTTCGAGTGTAGGGTATATTGTAAAGACCGATGCAAACGGCATGTCGGTCTTCGCGCGTCTATATCAACATCTAGTATGTGATGTAAAAGACGAATACAAAAAAACTAATACAAACGGCATGTCGGTCTTCGCGCATCTACGTCAACAAAGGTATTCTGGCGGGCCGCGGGGAGGGGGAAATCAAGATTTTTCAAGGATGGCTGCCGGAAAAAGGAGCATTCACTTGCGTGGATTTGTGGGGTCTCTACTAATTTCGGCGTCTCTAATTGTGCTATTTCTTTTCGGCCGCGGGTGGATCTCGGATGGGCACTCATCTGTACATTCGATGATTTCGTGGACTTGCCGGTCTCCAGTACTTTCGGCAGCTGGAGCGAAAAATTCTGGTTTGATTTTCTAGTGCTAAATTCTGCTTGTAAAATATGCCGATTCTACTAGGCCGCGGGGAGATCTCGCGTTTCTCCCTATTTCAGCGGCTCCGATGGCCCAAAACACGGAAAATCAAAATTTTTCAAGGATGCTTGTGGGAGTATTCTCGGGCAAATTCGATGATTTTCGTCGATTTGTGAGTCTTTACCAAGTTCAGCATTTCTAACGGAAAACTGAGGCTCGATTTTCTGTTGTTAACTTCTGCTTAAAACAATGTGCTACTTATATTAGGCCGCGGGTGGATCTCGGGATTCTTCTTCTTGAAGGTGGTGGCGGTGGTGTTATTAGAGGGAAAGAAAGAGAGGGAGACGAGAGAGGAGAGAGAGAGTTATATTCGTCTTTCAGTCTTCATAATACTCACGCAATGTAGTGGGTGAGCTTTGAAGTCCGAGGACGTTGATCCGTCTCTAAGTCCAGGAGGGAGAGAGAGAGAGAGCGAGCGAGAGGGAGGTAGAAGAAAAGAGGGAAGAGAGAAAAGGATTGATCGGCTGAGGTTACTTGTAGTTGTTATTATTGGTATTGTGGCATTACTATTCTTGGTGGCGTGGGCATCTGCTGCTGCATGAGGTAATATGATTTCTTTGCTGGCATATTTTGCCATTCGATTTTTGGTATTCTGTTTTATTCGGAATTGGATGTTGCTATTATTCTTATAGGGACTGTTGTATATTTTCTGACAAAAGATCGATATTCGATAGGCTGCATTATACAATAATATATTGAACTCTCTATCTCGTATTTTTGAATGATTTTTATATATAACGCGTTTCGTATCGGATTTTATATTTATCGGTTCTCGATTTTCTATAGATATTGATTTCGAACTATTTTTCTATTAATTCAGAGAAAATGGGACGCAAGAAAATAATTCATATTAAAAAATTATGATATATATTTCCTTTTTTTTATATTCACTATATTCTGCATCTAAATTTATATTATGCATTTTATAAATTTCTAAATAAAAAAATATTATAAATACCATTAAAAAATTCAATAAAAATTATTCAAAATTTTCAATATATTTTTAATTGAATTATATTTCATATAAATAGAAAATGAATATTATGAGAAATGAATATCAGAAAATGAAAGTCTCGAAAATAATCATAGAATATTCATGATATGATTTGATAATTTCTAAAAAGAATTTTTTAATAATCATTGATATATAGAATACGACGAAAAAAGAATATATTATTTTATAATTCTTCTTATTAATGATAGAT